AAGCCTCCACAGAAGCTTCCAGCGAAGGGTCTACTGAGGCATCTAGTGAGGCGTTCACAGAAGCCTCCACAGTAGTTTCCAGTGAAAAGTCTACTGAGGCATCTAGTGAAACTTCCACAGAAACTTCCAGCGAAGGGTCTACTGAGGCATCCAGTGAAACTTCCACAGAAGCCTCCACAGAAGCCTCTAGTGAGTTGTCTGGTACAGTTACGACTGAATCTACCAGCGAGGCCTCCTCTGAGTCTACAAGCGAAGTTTCCAGCGAACCAGCTACGGAAAGTGCAACCGAGGCTGCATCTGACGAAACGTCCCTCGCCTCAACAGAAACTTCCGAATCCACCCCTGATATATCTACAGAAGGTTCGTCCTTGGCTGAAGGATCTACAGAGTCTACGAATGAATTATCTACCTCTCGTAGCGAGTCTACTGAGCTATCTTCAGAGGCTACGACTGATTCAACTCTCATAACAAGCGCTACCGATTCAAGTTCGGATGCAACTTCAGCGGATCAAACTACAGAAGCCTCATCTGAAGGTTCACCCGAAGCATCTACTACAAGTGGCTCAGAGCAACAGACATCTTTCGGAACAACCGCATCGGCGGAAACTGAATCCGACACGCACATATCTTCAACGTCTTCAGAAGCTGTCACTTCCACTGAGCCGGGATCTTCAGACAGTACGGGAGAGACTGAAACAGGTAACGCAAAAAGTAAAGATGGCGAACATTTCTACTAACATTTCAACTTTTGCGATGTACTTAAACACAAAACTGGCGTACATTATTAAAAATGAGGTTAGTATTGTACTAATAGTTCTGTCAGTGATAATGTTATCTGACTGAATAAATAGTATTTATTCGGTCAGATAACATTATCACTAACAGTAGATTTGTTAAAAAAAAAAATAATTTGCTAAAGATGGCCACGAAGATCCGAGTAAGCAGAAATCTTCTAAAACCTCTCACTTTGATGACTGATTGAGTGTACTGCCAACAAAAAATCTTACCTATTCAGTTTTACTGTTATTATTGAAACACTTCACACACGGGTGTAGGTTAATAACACAACATCAAAGTGAGCATGGATCATACGAATCTATTTTAATTTATAAACTTTCAATAATTTACCAGGCATTTTAAGGTTGGCACCAGAAGGTAGTGATCGGCATGATATGCATCACAATATTATTACAGTTTAAAGCTCCCACGGCTGCGATAAGGTTCATTGATGTCCCCTGCCCTGTAAAGTCTATGATAAAGTCATGCACGAAAGAAGGCGATGAACTCCATAATCGCCGCGCGTAGGTTTATGGATAGTTCATTGACGTTTATTTGCTATTCTCCATCGCACCTAAGCCGAAGAAATTCCTATCGATATCTGCGAGTTTTTGCCTTTACTTCCCAAGACTAGTAGTACCACTTGACTGCCAACTTCTCGCACAGCGGGACCCGTTTTGAAGAGTGCTGCCTAGAGGACGGAGTAAGTAACGACCCATTCGTTTACACAAAAGGCGGACCAGCAGGCGTCGTAAGGTACCAAGTGGTAAAACATATATATATATATATATATGTGTGTGTATATGAAGCTTTCAAGTTCGGACAAACTTCGACGGCCTGTTTATCGTAGCGAGTATGCACTCCTTAGCTCTTGTGGATTGACTTCAGCTTTAAAGCACTCAAAGAAGCACGTGGATGTTTTGTATAAAAATTAAAGGTTGTTTTCCAGCGGAATTCATTTTGTTACTACAGCCATGATCTTGCGCCTCATCTAAAAGGTTATGAGGAGCGTTTCGAACATTTACTCAAAACAGGCAATGGATCAGTCTACTGAATAGGCCGCTTAACACTCTGCCCGACCAACAACGCGAGACAGCATGGTTCGCCGTCGGTAAAACACGAATCGTTTAATTTTGCTATCGCCGATTTCCTTCAAGGTGTATTTTGACAGGACAGTCCATATGTCCGGTACCTCATAATAGATTACATTGAAAAGCCGCTAGCATTACTGTTGATCCTCAGCAGCGACAATCAGACAATCACGAAAAAAGCCCATACAACGCAAGCTGGACAAAAAAAGTAACAATTATTGTACAAAATGGGTCCACTGAATAAACGGGAGCAATAGCAACCAACATATTAGGGTGCATAGTGCAAGTCGTGTACATTGTCCTATTGGCCATTTTAGCACCAAGTTCAATTATTTTTTTTTTTTAAATAGCAGGACATATGGGGTGCCTTAGCAAATTCTTTACGAGAAAATCACTAGAGCGTTCCAATAGAAAAGAACGACGATTCCAGCAGCGTAACGAATCTCCGATGGGACAGGGTAATAGAAGATGATATTCTAATCAAAGAGTTGCAACAAAACCCTGTAAAAGGATCACTTAACCATCGAGTACTAGTTTCTGCTGGCCTGTGTGTGGCCCATGTAGGGGCAGGCTAATAATACAACTGCAAAGTGAGATTATCATTATTGTTGAAACCTTTCACTGAAAGTAAGACGATATACGAGCATAGCTGTTGCTACTGCTGACAGATTCAATAAAACGACATAATGCAGTTGGTACTGCAGGATCTCAAGGGATCTTGAAACGTACGCCGCCAGCCTGCGCACATTATTTAGTCAAAGGCTATGTAAAAAATAAAATACCGGCCAATTAAATCCGTCCGCATCACGACAAACTCATGAGATAACGGCTAAACGGTTACGGATTAGGTTGACAGGAAAATTGCGAAGGCGTAGCCGTTGCTACATGTTATGATGCCCGGCCGTACTAACCAGGATCAAGATGAATTAAATCACCAACAAAACAGGCGCGCTGTTAAGTCCATCAGTCCTTTTAGCCTGATACATATCGAAGACATGACATTTCACAGTGCAGGATAGAGCTCTCTGAGCAAGTTGTATAGCGTTTTTGTCATACTAAAAGTATCGAGTGGCAGGTTTCTCGCAGCCAAGATGGCTCCTTTGAATAGGCCGCTTGGACTGATGCAGCCTGCAAGACGAAGTTAACATTTCTTTCCTAGAGAATAAAACTTCCCTCCCCGTAAAGTCCTAACTTTGCGAACTTGTAATTTTGTAACTTGGGCAAACAGACATATTTTGGCAATTTGCTTGACACTCACGGAGAATTGATCAAACGTTTATATTGCAAAAGTGCTTTTCAAGCAACGTCGGTTTTCAACTTTTAGTACTCTTCGCATAGTCGTGACGTAATGATTTTTCCAAATTGCTCATCATAACTTAAAGCATCGCGGTCCATACATTTACCAGTGTGAATACTGTTTCTAAAAAGGGGTTTTTTTTTTATGGAGAAGGGGTGGCGGCATGATGTCCACAATGAACGTATATTTTTCTAACTAATAGCGACGATTAAAATAGAGAAGCAAGATAAATAAGACAGGGTACTGAGACATTGTAACATTGTTTTAATCAGAGAGCCAAAATAAGTAAAGAAACATACGGAGTCGGCGTTGGGTAAATCCGTAAAGCGGCGCGACATGCTACGGCGTAATTGGAGATTAATTTTACACGCTATAATTGAGTAATTTGCAATTGCCGATTTTAAAACCGAGCGGAGTTTGTTTTTTAAGTAGCAGGGCAAATGCCATGCATTAAAGGACAGATTTCAACAAATTGTGCCACTTGCTAGGGGGTCCTGAAAGCGAAATCGTTCCACAAAAGTGACCATCCACTGCTGAAGCTAACAGAGTCACTGACCCCAAATGAGAAATATATGATCCTTTAGCCAGACAGAATTAGTATGACAGGATTTCAGGGTAACTTTGGACCGGACGTTTGTTAAAGTATAGGTGAAATGTAACAACAATGAGCTAGGTGCAACAAGGATCTCGTGCAACAAAAAAAGGACAAGCTGATGAGACAGATCGCTGCAGCGTGCCGGTGAGATTGTTGGCACATTCTATTGGGAGAACGGGATATGTAAGATAGGATCTCCGACACGCGGAAAAAACTAGAAAGAACGTAATGAGATAGTTGCAACAAGGTCGATGCTGTAAAAACAGCACGATAATTGTAAATCTGCAGCTTTGTAATCGAATTATACTTTGTTTGACTAGATGCAGCATGAGTCATATCTTTCTTTTACCGCTGGTGTCTATTTGACTATGAACTCCATCTTTGAAATTATCTCTTTCGGCCTTTTTTAGGATTAGATACACGTACGTCAAAGTTGTAGAGATTGGTGTAAACGACACTTTAGAGGCATCAAGAAGAGCTTTACCCAACAAAGTGGCTGTAAATATTTATATGGGGGCCTATATAGGGAAGGTATCATCGTTTGGCACCAATCGAAAGCTTTCGCCGTTCTTATGTTGCACATACGTTCTCGTACTCTAACCTTAGCTTTCAAGTAAAAAAAAAAGTGCCATTTGAAGACTAAAAACTTAACATGGTGTTGTATGTAGTAAGAGTGTTTTTTTTCCTATCCATTCACAGATATCGACAAGTTGACAATACATAAAACGGATAATTTGGCGAGCAAATGGCAAGAAAGCGTATTCGAAATATGTTTTCCTCATATAGCAATTGGGTGACAATCTACCCCGGAAGACTTTTAAGATATTTTCTGAACGAGTTTCTAGTACATATGAATGGGAAAGTCAAATCTGGTTATACGGCAGACATTTTAATGATATAGTATTTATTTTTTTTGGTGACATTTTCCGAGAAAAATAGCGTGTATGAAAAACATTTTTTCTACGTAAGGTACCACTTCGTCGGCAGTAATAGTTCGCACCAGTCGATAGAGATCTCGGCGAGCTGGGTGGTCAAATAAGACATCTTCCCACAGCTAAACTGAATGGAAAAGATCGAACACCGCACGTAGTCGCTCATACGATGAAAGTTCTTCGTATAGAGATCTATGTGGACGTATCCTCCCAATGTTAAACGAAAGCTCTCGACGAGCTAGGTAGAATACAGTACATATCTATTTACCTGAATGCCTAATTCCGGATCGAAGCTGCCGTTTGAAAAGTAGAAACTCGCTACTCTATGTGAGTGTTTTACAAAAAATCGCGAAAAAAAAGGAAACTTCGACGAGTATCGTCTCCCTTTGTGGGCGAAAATGACGGAACACCCGTCGATCGTATCAGTCTATTACTAGTAACATTAAGGTGTAAATATGATTTTTTTCCAGTGAATTTCTAGTAAGTGCTGAATCGGTTAATCTGAAGTTAATTTTCGATTACGAAGTTACGCTTAGTTAACGGTATTGGTGCTATCGGATTTTGAGTTAGCCTATATGTAAGACGGTACGACGATATTACCCAATATAGGAACGGCATTTTGAAAATACATTCGAGTGAAAAAGGCAGGCAATGGCCAGGATGTAGCGGTATTCATGCAGCAGGATAACAGAACCTTCACCTGCACCCGCGTTTTACTAAACTAATTATATAGAGTGTTTTAATTTAGGTTACTTTATTATCGAATGAGATGGAAAAGACGGCGTCGTAATATACGAGGAAGGCGGAACAGTGATCAAATAAAAGGGCTGAAAAGATTTTAAGGGGAGGGATGATGGCTAGTTGTACTGCTCTAGAGCTGCTTCTATTAAACGGTTTAGAGGTATTGGTGTATTCCTTCAATTCAAGGGCCTACTATGTGTAACTCTGTGCGCTGATGCCTGACATTAACGATCCTACTTTTTAGGTCTTCCGTCCGTTGAATGCTGCATACTGGTATCAACGGTGACAGATTGTCTGTTAAGCA